GTATATTTATGAGCATAGTATCAATATAAGTTAACATGATTATTAAATGGGTTTTTGAGAGTATTTTTGGCTAGCAAGTGAAATCGGCGACATGTGATAAATGAAAATAAATTTTATCGGTATGTTATAAATTATATTGTTCATCGAGCATTATAATTAATGTATACCGTTAGAAGTGTTCCGTTCCATTATCTATAAAAACGGCAAAAAATCATATCCGTTCCATGCGAGCCTCACTTAAATATTTTTTTATTTTGTTTTTTTTTAGTATTTGTTGTTATAGCGGCAAGAGAAGCATCATCTGTGAAAATCAACTGTCAACATCAACTGTCTAACAATCATGGTTCATGAGATACAACCTGGTGACAGACGAACAGTCAGAAAGGTGAGTCTTAATAATAGGGTCCCGTTTTACCCATTGCGTACAGAACCCTAAAAATACTAAGTCAATAGCTCAGTGTCCGAGCGCGATGATTCGACCAAAAGCAGTTGAAATTCCGGTAAACAGCACTAATAAAATTGTTAATTTCAATTCTTAGTGCTGAGAGTAGAATGAAAAAATCGTCAACGACATATGAAGATCGCCAATCCACAGTAGAGTCACTTCGCGCTCTAACAACGCAAATCAAAACAATAAAATTGATATATGCGTTCTACAAATGCTAACCAAATCTAATATATAAAATTCTCGTGTCACGGTGTCCTCCGAAACAGCTCGACCGATTTTCGTGAAATTTTGTGTGCATTTTGGCCAGGATGGAGAATCGGACAACATCTATTTTTCATCCCCCTAAATGTTAAGGGTGGTCCACCCGAAATATTTTTTTCTACCCTACAAATTCCTTAGAAATATTTTATACGGTAAGACAACGTTTGCCGGGTCAGCCAGTATCCTCTATAAATACCACATCATGCTTGATGCTTTTATGTTTTGCTAGATTCTATTGTAGAAGAAGAAGAAGAAGAAGAAACGTTTATTCACGGTCTAAGCACAATAGATACAAAGAACACTTAAAAATAATAATGTAACTACACATTATGTAAAATAATATTAGAATGACTTAAAATAAATGTAAACATAACAAAAAAACTAAACAAAAATAATAATAATAATAAGTGAAAGGTCTGTGTAGCAGCATAAGACCGTGAAACGGACGGGACGTATTTGAAACTGCCTCTAAAAGCGGCCGAACGGTAGAAAGGATAAACTAATTTATAATTAGATGATCTCGTATTATACATCTCATTTTGATCTTTAGCCCAAATCAACTTATTGTAAAGATATAACGGCTCTTTGTTTCTAATAGTTCCAAATAAAAGTGAGGCGAAGTGTAGTCGTCTGCGGAGGTCCATCTTTAGGATATTTGCGTTATTGATAAAAGGCGTTACATGTGCACGTGGAGGTATATTAAAACAGAAACGTGCACAGGCGTTCTGTACCCTCTGTATTATTTGCCTTGTTCGTGATAACAGACGTGGGCCTAAGAGAGAATCCGCGTAATTGAATTTTGAGAGAACGAGAGATTCGCATAGATTGATACGTAAGGAAACACTTAGTTAATCACGAATACGATAGAGTACTTTCAACCTGTAAAAGCAGTTACGTGCAATTCCCATAATATGCTTCTCAAAACGCAGCTTGTCGTCCATTATTACCCCCAAATTTCTGACTTCCGCCACTCTTACAATGGATTCGTTGTTTACGGTAATGGCAGGGTGACTTAATATGATCTTCTTTATTTGATTTGGCGATCCTAGAATCATATACTGAGATTTATTCGGATTGAGAACTAGTGCATTACGCTCTGACCACAAAGATATCCGACTTAAGTCCAAATTTAACTTTGCTACAGCTGAGTGAACATCACGAGGCTTAAATGAAATATATATCTGTAAATCGTCAGCGTACGTGTGATACTTACAAAACTCAATATTTTTAATAAGATCTGCACTATATATTATAAAAAGTAATGGACCTAAGATGGATCCCTGTGGTACACCTCGGTCTACAAGTCGCTCTCCAGAGATACTTTTGTCCCTTTCACTTGAGTGCATTTCAACCCGTTGTGACCTATTTTCAAAGTAACTGGCAAACCAATGAGTTGCACTTCTACTAATTCCATAAAAATATAATTTGGACAGAAGTAATGGAATATTTAGGGTTTCAAACGCGCGTGAGAAATCAAGAAGCGTTAAAATTGTACCTTCCCCACTCGCCTGTGCGGTCAATATATCATCTACGACCGCCATAAGCGCAGTGGTAGTGCTGTGCTTTTTTCGGAATCCAGACTGCAACTTAGGAAGGATATTATTTGATTCAAGGTACTCTGTTAGTTGATTACATGCAAGCGTTTCAATAACTTTAGAAAGGCACGGTAGGATGCTAATAGGCCTAAGATCCGACATATAAACAGGGTTACTAGTTTTAGGTATAGGTTTCACGATTGCTTTTTTCCAGAGATCCGGGTAGGTATGTGTCGCAAACGATGTATTAATTATACGTGTTATTTCTGTAATAGCATCTTTAGGTAATAACTTAAACATATCAAGTGAAATGCCATCGCATCCCACTGCATTAGACCGCAGAGAGTTTACAACTTTAATAACCTGATCTTCTGAGACTTCTTTAAAATGAAAAGAGCTATCATTACTGCCATTAAATTCAAAGAAAGTGAGAAGGGACAATGAAACATCATTATTTCCAGGAATATTCAAAAAATGATCGTTTAAGGCATTAGTTAGGGTCACTAAAATGAGATGGTAGTGAGGAATCCTTACTTTTTATTTGTACTTGTTCTTTAATATGTTTCCACATTATTTTTGGTTGCTTTAGTTTGGAGTTAACATAAAATTTGAAATAGGCGGTCTTTTCTGAAAATATCGCTTTACTTACTATTGATTTTAGTTGTTGTTGTACACATTTATTCATTTCGCTTTTAGTTTAAAAAAAGTCTAAAAACTTTATACAACCAGTGCGTTAGGAGTATACAAAAAGGTATTATAAAAACATAAATGGCCACAACAAAAGCTAGATTCTCGTGCGATGTTTTTATAAATATCGTTTTTCGACAAAGTAAAAAAAATGTGCCACGGTGTTACTATCGTACGGTAAAATCTTTTCTTGCCCAGTAGAACTCGTAATCGTATGCCTATTAAGAGTTTAATTCTTATTTGGCAGAAGCTTTATAGTAAACGTGTAAAAAACTTCGAGTCGCTTTCGAGAATTGTAAAATTATTCCGTTCCGTCGAAAAACAACACAAAATCTAACAAACCTTTAGTTACACGAAGAATAAACGGTACCATTAGGAACGACGAGTTTTACCTTGAAACAAGAAATCTAATGATTTCTGGTACGTGGAGTATGCGCTTGTATATATTCATATTATGTATGAATAATAGTGGAGATAGAGAGAAGGCAAGAATATATTTTTATAATCATTATCATGTTGGCTGGTCATGTAACACTTGATTCTTTGACATCTGCTACGAACAGTGTTTCGGCAGGCCGTTTGCTTAAAACTTTACAAATTAAAAGTGAAAGTTAGGACAAAGGAAGTTAATCATCATTCAAGAATCTCAGGACTTTAAGCCTGTTTTCATCATCAGTTTAACATCAGATTTTAGTTGTAGAAGCATACCGATCTCACAGACCATAATAAAAAAATGAACGTTTGAGTCTGGAGGTAGCACAAAGTGAAAACTATCGTTTGTGATAATTACGTTATGTATCCGAAAAAAATTGGCACATATTTAGACTCCTCGCAATGATTCCTGAAAAAATTGACGCACTAGTAAGTGTGTTCAGAAACTCAGTGAGAAGAATGAAATATTCACTTAAAAGCATTAAGGCGTACGATTTCCTTTTTTATGTGAGAAGGTGGCAAGCGAGCTGGAAATTCACATGATGTTAAGTGATAAGCGCCACCCATAGACACCTGCAACGTGTTGCCTGTTTTTGGTATAGTGGGCCTCGATTTTCTCACTCAACACACGAAAGGCAAAAGTATAATCTTACCACTTCACGCCGACCCCCTGTGATATCTTTGCTTTTATGTGAAAAAGTGGCAAACGAACTTACGGTACATCTTAAGTGATAACCGCCGCAAACATTTAAAACACCCGTAGGGCTGTACCTTTTAATAAATTGGGCCCCGGCGGACTCACCAGACGAAAAGCAGAAGTGTAACACCTGTACTTCACGCCGGTCTTCTGCGAGGTCATTCTACTAACCCGGACGGGGCCTGCCCATTCATGCAACAGTGAAGACCGCTACGTCGCCCTTGTATCTTATAACCTTCGTCTTCCGAAAAGATAGCCAGTGCACTAATTCGAGTGATGGGCTTAGTTATTGGGTTTAATGATTTTACACGTAAGATATGTGAACGTAATCACTGACATATGTCAGTAATGATGGAGATGATTTCCGACCTGCTTAGAAGCAACTTACTAGTGGATATAACTTCAAAAATAGGAAATAATAGAAAATAGGGAGTTACACAATGTTATCTAGTCCTAAACTAAACAAACTTGTACTATGGGTACCAGGTAACTGATAAACATGCTTTACTATTGTAAATAAATACATATTATAGACAATGTTCATCACTCAATATTTTTCCAGTAGTGGGAATCGAACCCACTCTCTGGCGCAAAAGACAGGTTCACTATCCATTACGCCAACTATGTAATACTATTCTTTCTTCCATCAGCAGACGACTAGACACACCTTCATCATTTTATCGTCGACATAACTGGCTTTCTAACCAAAAATTACTCCTCTATCGTAAAACATACAATATATATCAGCATCAGTTTTCCCGTTCGAGTACATGACTGTCTTCAGGGCAAGTATTTATAGTGTTTTAAAGGCAAGCTCGTTAACCACGAGCAAAAGGGTTTTCAAGTAGTGGACAGTTACACTGAAAACAAGTGTAAGTCGACCGCATTAATGTCTATTGCCATTACGAATACTTATAGCAATAGGCATTATTTCCAGTCAATAAACGTAGCCGAACGCTACGGGCGCGATTGCATATTCATGTAGGTAGCGGGCTTCAATCGGCCATTGTGCGTCTATGACAAATGGCGACCTTATTCCCATAGTGGGGCCGGTGTTCGTTAGACCGTGGCAGTTTGACCGTTCAGTTGTGCTTACTGCGGACGGGGCACGCAAGGTCACCGCATCGAATCCCCGGTTTAATTGAAACAGTAATTGGCCATTGTTATTTGGACGCGAATAGGTACTATCACTCTGTAGCCGCTAAGAGGCATCCGCTGTTGCGAGATAGGGTACGGCATCAATGCAGCTAAGCTGACAGGTCTAGTAGAAGTGTTTATAGCGTCTCGTTTCTTAGGTACTATGATTTGGGTAAGTGATATCGCTGGTGTAGAGAGTTGTCGAGATCCCTTACTGTCAAGTGTGTGGTCTTCACTTCTATATTTCTTGTATGATGTTTACTAGCATCATTGGTTGATTAAGCAATTCGGTTATTATTCCACTGTCTTTTGTCAATATACTTTTTTGTTAATGATGTAGGTGGGTTAGTTATATAACATAATATTAATACAGCTTTACCAGTTATATTATAATTTATAGGTTTTAAGACAATACAAGACACTTTCGCGCATCTGTGCCAGATGCTAATTCAGTACGGAATCCATTACTCTGTGTTACCGATGACATTTCAATGGAACGGGCGACGCGATCTTCTGAACATTTTTTAAACCAGTCCAGATTGATAAATAATCCGAAACTTCCATAATATATTATTGCAGATAAAGATCCTATCGTTTTGAGTCCTATGTATATATCAAATGGCGTAGAAATAACGTCGAAACCTAGTTTCAAATGGCGACTTTCAGTCAAAAAGTAACAGCCTATACATATCGCACTGTTGGGCAAAGGCCTCCTCTATACAGAGGGTATCAGGGCATAGTCCACCACGCGGCCCCACTGCGGATTGGCGGACTTCACATATCTTCGAAATATTTTTTTGTTATTATTTCGAAAATATGCAGGTTTCCTCACGATGTTTTCCTTCACTGCGGAGCACGTGATAAGTCAGCAATTAAAGTTAAAAACTTCATTGGTGCCGGCACCGGGGATCGAACTCAGGTTGCTCGAGTATATTGAATTAAAGGCGAGCGCCCGGACACTGAGCTATCACGGCTCTAAGCTTTCAGTTAGTGCACTTTTAACTAGAAAACTAATTTACCTTATTTGTGTTATTACTTTAATATATTCAGATAGTTACAATATGATTCTTATACTAAGGAAATAAGAATGGCACATATTCATTAGTGTTCTTAAGTGTAAGATTTCCACTCGTCGTTAGCATTGAAGGGAGTATGAAATAAGGATCTTAGAAGCTTTCAAACCAATCAAATCCGATTTGTTCCTTTTGTTTTAATGTTCAAGTTTGCTGCTAAAACTCGATTCGATCTTTCCGTTTCTTTTTAAATACCTTTAAATCCACAAATGATCATCTGCTCCGTGTATAGAGACGATAAAATTAAAAATACAACTTTGTACACGGAGCTACGAAAAACGCGCGTTGAGTGTTACCAGTGGCAGCAACGCAAATACGCAAATAGAAAATGTTGGCAACATCAATTAGACTGGTATGTTCACACTTCGGCGCGAATGGGGCGGACAGCGTGGGAGCCAAGCGCAGACCACGTTTGGAACGAAAGTAATTGCCCGGGAACGTTTATTATCGAGTAGCACGAAATGAAATTGCCCAATCATAAGTCAGTTTTGGTGGAATCAACAGTTTATTGAATTAATAGTTAAAAAAAAACACAAAATCAGTTGAAAGTGCCGGCAAAAGTGAAAACTCAAAACTAAAATAGTATGAATAATTAATATCACAAACCACTTATTTAAATCGCAAACGGGCTAATTTAAAAAAAAAAATAAACAGAAATTATGAATAGTTAATTTTTGTAAAATGTTCATAGAATTTTAAAATGCGCACCAAAAATACTATCGTACAACTAGAAATTTTGTTTTACAGTGATCAAATATTAGAAAACCAATTGACATAAAAATTTTAATATCACCAAAAATAATAAGAAAACATCAGATATTAGCATGTCGATGAACCGAACCTATAAATTTTTCCCCATCATAAATTGCCCAACGTGGCTATAGAAGTTTTCATTTCAATTAAGTCATACTTTACGTGTTACTGTACACTGATTGTCAAGACTTAAAGTATTAGTTTTTATTCCCAAACACACGAATGCATCTCTATTCACCATTATGTTTTGGGAAAACAGTTGTCTAATATGGTAAAAGCATTAGGTAAAAGACCTTCAAATTTTGCTTGGAAGACATTTTATACTTTCAGCACCTTTAATTCTCAAGAGTTATTTTTGTTACAGTCTATGGTTTATAAATTAACTTATACATATTAATAAATTTAAATTTATTTATAATTTGAGCTGTCTGTAGCGCAGGCAAGTATGTTGTTAAGATTTCCACATGCTCGAATATTTGTAGAACATATAGGCAAGTAATGTATAATTTTAGTAGTTAGTAACTACTACAGTAATACGTCTTATCTAACAAGTGCAGTCTCTACATTATTATAGTATAACTATCTTACTTTGTTACTACCTTCTTAGTGCGGTTTAGTTGTCGACTGATATATTAGTTGAAAGTAAGACCGGCACGATTATAATTAGTACCGACCGCGATAACTTACGTCTGTCATTTAAACAGTTTCCTGCCCCGCTACCGTTAACCGTATCGTAATGACCGCGATGGGTGGTTGCAGCGGCGGTGGAGATATCGTTTCGTTACTACGTCCGTTAAAATGTTTAGACGTGTGTTCCTTGTGTAAATCATGTGGCAGACTCGTTCGTGATGAAACATAGTTATGGGTTATGCACAATCTGTCTTTTATGTACTACTCCTTTTATATATATTACGATGACTCCGCGGTGCCAAGGTATTGCCTTCGGCGCCGGTCGTAGGTTCGATTCCCACTTCCCACGACTCCCACGACTATTTGTGTAACCCACAGATAATTGTTTAGAATTTGGGTGTTTGTTCTCGTTTCGCCGACAAGTGGTGATTGTCCCCATAATCCGAGGTCGAATGTAACGGAGAATTCATTAAGAATTTTGATTCCCCTGTCCATATCTCACCTAGGTGGGTTCAATACAACATGTGAATCGTGTTGTTTGCGGTATTGGCTAACAATTTCACGGTCACTCAAATACTTCTTTACTCTGTGCGGAAAACATGTTCGCGATCTGCGCTGAAGTTGGATCAAAATAAGTTCCTTTTAAAGCGCCAAGTTTTACAGGAGAATTATGAACATATAAAATACCATCATTACATCATTTATTTAGTAAACAGTTGTTTGTTAAAGTTATTTTTCATTCATTTAACTTTAAAGTCAATTGAGACATTTAACAACTTTGCTGGATCGTGTTCACATTACATTTATAAATAGTTTCCGTCTAGTCTTCTTTCCATAGTCTAGATGTTTGTATTATGTATTTATGATATGCATTATATATCAAATAAGAGTTTTAGGGCTGCTTAGTTAGGGTTAAGATATCATTTTATGTATTATTTATTTTTGATAATTACTTTATTATTTTTATTATCAAGTGCAAACAAAGAGACAGACATAACCTCTGCAGAACATAAAATGTAGATTGTTCCTGGCATCGCATTGCAATTGACGTGTATATGTACAGAATTTGCAAATATTATTGTGAGACTTCGACGGAGATACGGTCGGAAACTTGATTTCCCACGCGCCGTTACTTACATATTGCCAATTCAATAACGCAGTATTAAATTGTTCATAATATATGAAACAAGGGTACACAACCAATTTAAATACTGTTAACACGTTTAAATGACATTAAACTGTATGAATTAATTATAACCCGTTTGTAATTTACCCCAGGTAAAGATATCCAGTTATTTCAATACGAAATAAGTATAAAGTAAAACGGGAGGCTGTAATAGCTGTAATTACACTATCAAGTAGCTAGATCACTGCCAAAATATCTTAAGTTGTGACCTTACTTTTTGACGTTACTTATCTTCTACTTAATCTGCGAGTGTCTTACTAAAATAAAATGCAATAATATTATATGCACAATCCAGTATGTACTTTATCTCATTCAGTGATCACTATTTTCGGTCTAAAAGTGTTTGTATAATTTTGTTCCGTTACCTTAAAAAAGATTACGAAACGTTGGAAATTTTAAAACTAACTTTAACTTTTTTTACAATAGTTTCTTTTTACAATGTTTCAATTGTTTTATTTAAATTTTGATACTGCAACCTCTCTGCGGAATTCAATTATTTTGTGCTGTAAAAATTGTTAAAAAATATCCCTAGCTAGAATAACTTAGATACCAGTAACCCAATTCGGCCGCACATTACTGTTCTCATTTCTGGTGAAGGCGTCACAGTATAAGGTCAATAAAAGCTCCTTTTCCAACGTAGAGTTCAAATCGTTTCCGACCAGATCCTCTCCTATCGCCTCGACTCTCTGGCCTTGCGAACATATGTTTTGGCTGGCTGCATTTTCGGTCGCATTTATCAGGGGAGTGATATCAGGAATTATTCGAATTAATACTCGCTGCCGAGTTCCACCACTGTACCACGTGTCAAATCATCAAATACCATAGTCAACCACTGTGCGTTATTCATGTAAAATGCTTCTACATACAAGTGTGTCGAGAGACAGTTTCAATTTATAAACGCCAACCGGTCGTAGTGTGTGGTATAAATTGTGGAATCAGATGTTTTCACTGGCGTTACCGGACCGATACGCGTTAGCAACCTTCAAGAAGAACGCCTCTTCAACGGCCGGCACGCACTGGTGATTCCTCTGGTGTTTTGAGTACACGGCTGGCGGTGATCACTTACTATCAAGTGACCCTGTTGCTTGTATGAACAAGCAAGAGGGTCTCTTGATAGTGAATGAGAGAGAGAAAAGGAGATGACTCCTTTTCTATGAAACCACCGCAACGACCGAGCCATCACGCATTACCATAAAAACAAGAAGACACACCGAACCATGTAGCGCATTAAGTCCGTACTCCACGGGGACAGCGTACAGCACTTACGTTACGCACAATTTTACTTTCCCGCCGCGTCGTTGGCGATTGTTAGCGACAAACGGCGGAAGCGGCGATGTCGTGTGCGCCCCACATGCCGAGCGCCGCGTGACGGCTTTGCGAAATGGGCCCCATAGGTGACACACCGCCGCCGCGTTCGGCGAGCATTATTAACGATACAAAATTAGGTGGAGATATGGAGACTAGCCAAAGAGTACATATCAAAAATAATATAAATAAATTAATAAAAGTAAAGTAATATGGCACACTGGGGTCGTCTGCTGCACACTGCCCTAGGAGTCTGGCAGGTGCAGGTGGCATCGGGGAGTCGAACCCCATGACCTGGCTTTGGTAAGCTTCTCGACAATTCATTGACTGCAGGAGGTCGATATTCATGTTGCCAGTCGCTCATTGCTTGGTTGAATTATTTATTTTCGCAAGTTTTTTGCAACATCCTGTATCAACTTGGTTGCTGCATGGGAATTGAAATTGTCGCTTGGGGACTCTGATAATGTGTAAGTATAAATGACGAAGGTTTAATTACTTGTCGGACGAAATGCATATGAAATGGGCAATGGTTTGATGAAATTTCCCGGGTTTAAATACCAAATGAACTTAATAATTAACGTAGGAACCATTAACTAAAGAACTGAAGTCTTACTATTTCAATAAACCCTACTAGGTTATTAAAATTTAAGATGGAAACTACGGACAGATTTCCAGGCAAATTTATGTATTGCGGTCAGTTTTAAACATTTTCTTACATCTGTACTTTATCAAATATCCAATCAATTCTTTGCTATCACATAAAATTAATTAAAACTGTTCACTATATAAGTAAGGTATAAAGCTTCGAATACAACCAGAATTTATGTATTTGTACGGTAATAAATTTCATAGTACATACTAATTGAATCATCACTTGTACAACTGTGAGATAAGAAATCGAAACACGAAGGAAGTCGGAAAGAAAATCGACAGTCGTAAATAAAGATCGACAATAAATCTCTTAATGATTTGTAATCAACGACAATCGATTAATGAGACGGCCGAAATTTAACATCGTATGATACAATCAATTAATGGAAATCGATACGATACGAACTAATCAAATTGCCATTTATAAAGCCGCGGACGGAGCCACGCAAATATATTAGCAATTTTAACACCGAAACGTGATAACTGAATACATTTACATAATCATTATGCACGGTCACAAATCAATTGGTGTATTCAGAGCCCTTAAATAGAGCGACGCGACACTATAAATCAATTACTTCGATAAACATAAGATAGCGGTGTTTTTATGATTAAGCCTAGAATTATTAATATAGGCAGTTTGATATTTTCCACCGGAATATTCAATTAATTTCCTTTTTTTATGTTACAAAGTGGCAAATGAGCTAGCGGTTCACCTGATGTTAAGTGATAACCATAGTCCACGGACATTTGCAAAACACGTAGGATTGCAGATGCGTTGTCACCTATTAATGAAGTGAGACCTGGCTACTTCGCTCACCAGACGAAACGCAGAAGTGTAACACTTCTATTTCACGCGAGTCTTCTGTGAGGTCGTGGTACTAACCCGGACGGACCTGCCCATTCGTGCAACAGCGAAGAGTGTTTCGTGGCCCTGCCACGGAAAATTGTAATATTATAGACATTTATAATCTCCAAACTCAAGTATTTATACTCGCCCCTTTCAAAACCAAACTTATTCTGGTTAATTCCCTTATTTTACCCATTTTGGATTATGCAGATGTCTGTTGCTCGGATCTAAATCAAGATTTCCTTAATAAGCTGGATCGTCTCTATAATAACTGTATTAGGTACATTTTCGGCTTACGTAAATTTGATCACATATCTCAATATCGTTCCCAGCTTAAATGGCTTACTATTCGTCAAAGACGTAGTTCTAGAATTCTTTACTTCTTACTCTCTTCTCTATTCTCAATGACACCCTGCTTCTCCTAAGTACTTAAAGGAAAAATTCCAATATCTCTCATTAACTTACGATAAAACACTTCGTTCCTCAGGTAGTAGAATACTTTGTACTCCGACGCATCATTCCGGCTTCTTCCATAAATCTTTTACTATTCAAGCTATACTACTCTGGAACTCTTTGCCTCAATTCATCAGAAACGCACCAAGCAAGGTATCATTTAAGAAAATGCTGCGATGTCACTATGCCAATATTGCCGATTGTTAGAGTAACCAACTATAAATATTATTATACTTGTATTACATATGTATAAATCTATATCTATATATTTATATATATATATTGCCTTCTTTTACTTCTTTTTCTTTAATTTATTTCGTGTATTTTGTTTTGCACCTGCGTCAAACTTTCTCTACTCCCAGGGTTGACTGGAAGAGAATGCTTATTAGCATTAAGTTTGCCTTTTGTTTAGCTATAAGTTGAGGTGTAAACAATAAATTTTAAATAAATAAATATGCGTATTTTTTAAGATTTATCTTTATGTTTTAAAGTTTTACACTCTACTAGTACTAAAGCTTGTGCTCAAAGAATGTTAAAACCTGTTTAATTATAAATAACATGTAAAGGTTTTTTTTATTTCATTCATTTACTACCGAGCTCTCATACCTCCAATGTAGTCGATTACAAATATCAATGATATACGTTTGTTTGATTTAATTTTGCTTAGTCATTAGAAATATAATGAAAACAAAAAAAATTTCACATAGCTGGCGATTTTTAAAGTCTGTGTGTCTCAGGTTGCAAAAGCGGAGATTCGGACCGAGATGCATCAACGCAGCGACGCGTGTGACTCTGGCGCAATGACAGCAATGTTTTGTTTGCACCATACCGAAACCAAGGCGACACATAATTACACGTCCTTCACAGCCGTATGTCACCAACCGTTCTATCTTACAATACTATAAAATCTAAGAAAATTCTTCGTTTTAAAACTGAAACTAAATTTATATATCACATATACATTTTTTACTTCATCCCCAAAGTCGGGTAAATTTGTACGGTGTACTAAAAGTTGCAAAGCTCGTACGTTAAATTATATACTGGTTAACTTTTTTGAAACTCTTATAAAATCAAATGCTATTCTTTTAATTCATGAATTTTATCTTAAAAAGCCATTAATTACATAAGATAAAATTCATAAGGAAAACATAAACGAAACCACGAACTGCGTCGAAGCCGAATACCTCGGCAACTGCACCGCGGACTCATCTAAAGATTGGCAACGCATCTGCAACAGCGCATCTGCAACCGAGTGTTGCAGATGTCCACGGGTGACGGTAATTACTCAACATCAGGAGACCCCCTACTCTTGTACCCTGTTCTCAAGAAAAAAATTCATGGTGTTACTAAGTCTTAAGTTTACGCTCGCTATTCACATCTTAGTACCATAAATGACGGCGCTATGCGGTTGGCCGACATTAACGCACGGATTTTATTACATACGGTACTTAACCGACTTGAACCCGTCAAGTAATTAGGAAAATTGCCGTGGACTATGTCTTGTAAAATTCTCCCTTGCGTAAGGCGTAAAGTGGTGGATATTAAGCCGCTGACGCCCGGTTTCTGAAACACTGGTCATCGTAGATGTTAATTAATTAGCTGTCAAACGGCTTTTCAAATGTCATTTAAGTTTCCAAAAGAATGGTTAAACTCTCTGAATTGCCAGAATGATCTTCTTCATGATCAGAATGATCAATTCAAAGAGTATAATCATCCTTTTGGCAACTTAAATGACATTTGAAAAGTCATTTGACAGGTGATTAGTTAACATCTACGATGATCAGTGTTTCAGAAACCGGGCGTCAGTGTAGCGTCGCCTCCGGCTTGTTAACGGAAAAGTGGCGCACCTTTCTTTAACAAGCACTCGAAGCTAAGTAATTTTAAAGATTGGTTTATTAAAACTTGTAGAAATAAAGTACGAAAAGCATTTCGCCGCTGTGGGATTCGAACCCACGTCTTCGGGATTTGCGCCCTGACGGTCAGTAAGCTAAACGGCTGATAGTCATGCCGTCAAAAATCAGTATATTATGAAGTAGATTTAGCATGTGGTCAATTCAATCGAGAAGTTTGATATCCGATATGCCTAAAACTCTTCAACATGGCAATGATTGATATAAATCTCCAGGGTTACGAGGTAGTTGCCATCGAAGCAAGTATTGCTTGTTATTGAAATAAGAAGCTGACGGGTTCCGGTGTTGGTCTATATTTAACGTGTGCTTTTTCACCAAAATCAAAAATCAAAATCTAAAATATATTTATTCACATAGACGCTTGCGCGTTCTTATGAAATGTCAAAAATTTATTTCTTCTAACTATGGGGATGTGCTAAGGGAATATAAATAGATAATATGCAACAGTTGATTGCACAAACGACGTAATGGTTTAAATGCGCGCTGTATTGTCGGTTCGGGCCCCAAGTTTTTTGACCCACAGGGTAAAATGATCTGACCCACAAACATTTGTCGATTGTTGCCGAGACTGTTGTAAAATGCTATTTTTTTATGCGAAAAGTTTCCAAACGAGCAGACGGGTCACCTGATGTTAAGTGAATATCGCCGCCCATGGACATCTGCTACACCCGAGGGTTACAGATGCGTTGACAACCTTTTGAAAATTGGGCTCCGGCTACCTCACTCACCAGACGAAACGCGAAAGTATTTGTGATTTTATGATGATGAATTTGACGCAACGTTATTTCAACTGAAGGGAAAGGTGACAAACGAGTCTTGAATGTTTGAAAAAACATCAGATTTAATGCCTGTACGCTGTTTAAAATTAATTCAATAAAATTTTGATTGCACGTGTTGAATTTTTTTTTATTCTCAACATATTTTACGCTTTCCCGAATATTCTAGGGGATAATCAAATGTCTCCATCTCATGTAACCTTTTAACAGTGGGAATATTTCATATTACGTCTATCGGACGCACAGTTCGCCCAATCGACTTCTAAATTAACCAATTCGCAATTGCCTCTCAACAATGGCTATACATAACAATTGCAAAAGTCATCCAATGCTAATAAGTCACGATTCCTATTTAACGGTATGCTATTAACATGAAACTGCATCTATTGTGCAGTCTAGAGAATAACAAAAGTTTAAGCTCTAAGTGAATTCGAGCCACATTATTGAAGAACTCTGTAATGCTATTCCCCTGCAATATTA